TCGTCAACAGCCACTAAGAATTCATTAAAAGTAAATTTATTGTTTGTTTTAAAAAAACAACTGTGCAATATGTGCTGCTCAAGGCATTTTTGAATCAGGTTTGTTGTTCATCTCTTCTCAGGCTTCAGTTTGGCACGGCTAAACGAGAAACACGGTACAGACACACAGTTAGTAAGTACAGGTAAGGGCAGCAACAATAATTCGTGTTTGTTATTCTCGCAAAAGCTTAATACTTGTAATCTAAACTACAACATTAAGTTTTAAAATCTGATCATGTTCATCATGTTCTGAAAACTATTACATTCTAAAAAGGAAAAGATAGCAGTATATCTGATTTCAACCAAACCAGGTTTCAAACTAAGTTATCTATTTCCTCTTACAGAACTGAATAAAGCAATGCTGCAGGGACCCTGGTAATTATTTTACATGTAATTGGAGGATTCAATTTTAATGGTAATATTGCAACATGACTTTTGCTTTAGCTTCCCACAGCAGTAGGCACTCAATGAGCACATATGGACAGAAGCAAGAAATGAATCTGAGATGTGCACAGTAAGGTCACTTCCATGAACCTTCACTTTTAAAGCACATACAATTCTATGCCATTCCAACAACAACAGTACCGATTCTGCAGCAAAGCAACTGGACTTACTCCACAGCTGGAAAATAGGGAATGCATAATTTTAAGTTCTTAGTATCTGAGACAACAGGATTTTATTATCTTGTTGGTTATTTCTATTTGGAGATGGAAACTAAGGCAAAAACATGTTGCCTGATAATGCTGCTGCTTTCCTTTAAAAAAAATAGGGAATGCATAATTTTAAGTTCTTAGTATCTGAGACAACAGGATTTTATTATCTTGTTGGTTATTTCCATTTGGAGATGGAAACTAAGGCAAAAACATGTTGCCTGATAATGCTGCTGCTTTCCTTTAAAAACGAACACATTTAAAATATTAAACAATAGAGCTCCTTCCTTCTAAAGTATAGACTTAGTTCCCTTGTTAGTGATAATTGCATATAATTGCAGAATTCTCAGAAATATTTAATAGTGTTAAATTTGAATAGTCAAGCATTTGAGAATCAAACATATACAAAGTCTCAACATTTCAGAACCTCCCTCTCTGCACTTTGCACACAGAATGATTCCATTTGCAAGTCATGTTTACCTGTTTCGTAAGCACACTCAGGTTTCTTAGACACAAAGCCATTTTAATTAAGGCAACAGTAACTCCTTATGTGCAAAAGAAGATGTGGTATGTACAAGGAGAAATCAATGCAGACAGGGAATGCTTTACATTTGTTATTTGATTCTGCACAGATTTAAATGTGTGATTTAAAACTTGCATTAAGGCAGCTTTTGCACTTCATATATTCCATGATTTATAAATAGAAGAGTGATTCATATGACTCACAACATTCTTTCCTGGAGCTGTTTATCAATAATTAAATCATTTTGTGACTACCATTCAATGTGTGAAATAGAAAACCATGTTGTCTGTATATGTCAATGAATAAAAATATCTACACAATGTACCATCATTTCCTCTGGTACAGTTTTAAAACATGGTCCATCTATTTGGCCCTCCATATTTAACCCCAAATCACAGACTTTACATAATCTATGGGGTAGAAATAGTTTGTGCATGTGTCGAGTGGGGGTGGAGGGGAGACAGGATGCTGGTGGGGAAGGGAAGGTGGGGTGGGGTGAGCCTGTGAGCCTGGTTTTGAAGGAAAACATATTACTTCCTCAAGCAGATTAAAGCAGAAAAAGCTCATATACTGCTACGTTTACACAGAAAGCGAGACCCCCAACATCTAATGTCCCTTACTTACCCTTAGCCTTTTCTTTTTGCTATCTGAACCACAAAAAAGAAAAAGAAACAGAACACACACAGACATACCCCTGCTCTGCACATCAGGGGTATGGCACTGGCCTGCCATTCTTGAACTCCCTTACAAACTGTACTGAGAAATGTACACGCACGTACACTTTTTGATTGAGTTCTTTCAAACAACGCTACTTAGGAAATCACATCCTAGTCTCCTTAAAAGGACAAAGAGAAAGGAAAAGACTAATTTCTGTACTGAGAAATGTACACGCACGTACACTTTTTGATTGAGTTCTTTCAAACAACACTACTTAGGAAATCACATCCTAGTCTCCTTAAAAGGACAAAGAGAAAGGAAAAGACTAATTTTCAAATATTACTGTATTCCGTCTTGTTGTTAAAAAAAAGAAGAAAACATAAAAGAATCAACCTCAAGGTATATGTCTCAAATAATCAGATCTAGTAGGTAGATCTAGTACGGAAGGTAGTTTTAAAATGTTTCAAAAATCTAACAATGCTACTGACATAAAATAATGGGGTGAAGGAAGGATTAAGTGCCAACATTCGATAAAACAAAAAAGCTTATTTTATGTATAATAGATTATTCCTAACTCATTTTCAAGGAGTAGTATTTGGCAAGTTTGGCAACCCTTTCCAAAGAGTTTAAATCAGCGGTTCACAACCAGAACATAGCCATGTTCAAGGGTAGTAGACAACATTTGAGCTGCAACTCTGCTCAAACATGTATGTACATTCTCCACGTGACGATATATTGCTCTCCAGGGAGAAAAGCTCTGTTTTGTGAAATTCATAGACTTCCATGGTATAAATTCTCCCACCATGGCTGATTTTAAGGTACCAGCCCGATGTCACTGAACATGGAGCTTGGAAGAGCTATGCTGCAGCACCCAGTATACAGTGTTAAAACCATGCCCGTACGCTAATTGTAAATAATCTCAAAAGCAGAAATCACAGTAAAGTATTGTAAAATAATTAGGTAGTAATAAATTTTAAGTACTAATTACCTTTGATTTTTACGCAATTAAAAAAATTTTTAATAATGGCTATGTTTAACAACCAGTTTGCAAAATTTCTAAAAATTGAACAACTGGCTCTCACGAGTCAATGAGGGCTGACCCAACAAACCACTGATTCCACATATCCAGAAAAGCGTGGATGTCTGTGATTTTCTTACCAGTTCATTCTTAAACACTGGATGAATATTAGCATAATTTTAGAAAAACATCTGCAACTCCTGTACCTGAACATAGAATTTGATTTTCAAGAATATGCAGGCCTTTAAAGATACAGATGAGTCAATTCCTTTATCACAAAGCTGGCTTTCATTACAGGTTATCAGTACAGTCTGTAGATTTAGATCTAGACAAAACATCATGTAGTGTTTTACGGAACTTTCAGCAGAAAGAGGGTTGTGGTGTGCTGCTCTTCACAGCAGACATTTTCCCCACACTCTCCATTCCTCTGGCCCCAGAAAGCACTACCCTGAAGCCTCTCTTCTGGACTTGCAAGTTGCAAAAAACGATAATTTATAATTAATGTAACTCTAAGATACTAGAAGTTTATTTTTTACTCCATGACAAGAACAGAGCACTGTAACTATCAGATAAATACTGGCTGTTGAATGAAAACCGGCAAGCCATTAGCTTGTCATAAAGTCTTCACAAGAGCCCCTGGAACTGAGACTCTGCTATGAATCTCAGGGCTAGTTTTCTCCCACCTCTTATCCTCTCATTTAAAGAAGACAGTAGTACAAACTCCTTAAATTTTAACTGATGGGCAGCCGCCTTATTTGTGTGCATTACGTAGGTGCCAGCTTATGAGCTGTCAGATTGCATATATGGAACGAAAAGCCCCCTGGCTAACTCCGAAACTGAAATAAAGTGGCAGTTATAGCAATTTCATCCTGTAAGTATTCCTGGACATGGAATACAATCAAGAAAGACGATTTGACTGAAAATGCATTCAGAAGGAGCAGTTATAAACAAGAAAAAGTCTAATGGGAAACTATGAAAATCCCATTGTTCTGAAGCACTGGGAGACAGAAATCCAATCCTATTTAAATTAAAGATAACGCTGCTAATAGGCCAGGCTTTGTGTTCATGTAAGTCTAGAGTTAGCTTTCTTCTTCCATGCACTTGACTCAATGAGACATGTACAGAACACATCTGTTGTGCTGGGTAGCCCTCAGGGTAGGCTGTGATTCCTCGCCTTTCCAGGCCTGACTTATCTATAGAGTTCCCTGAGTTATTGAGGTCAACCTCAGGATTGTAAATCAAGAAATTCTATGAAAATGAAAATTCTCGTTCACATGTTGCAATTAAAAGAAAGTTAAAAGGAAGGGATTCATAACGCAGGATAACTACTTTTTGAAAAGTCAAGTGGCTGTGCTGTATGTTTTCAATTTTAAACCATCATCTTGATATGTTTAGGGGTTTAATTTATGGAACAATCAAGCAATCTTTATATTTAACATTAAATGCCTGAATATTATAAATCACCCTAGACGAACATTTATGGGAGAGTTTCAGTGCAACTTCTGAACAACTTGTCACTTTTATTGTATAGCAATGATTTGTAAAAAATGATATGCTAAGTAATCCTAGAGTATAATTTAAGGACACAAAAACAACTGTCAAGAAACAGCCAGAGACTACATTTAATGAAATCTTTACAGACTCAAGTAATAAGTTTTAAATTAATCAACACAGCTTAATTGAAGCTCTATTTGTAACATTTTTTATTACACTTGTTATTAATGAACCTTTAGATGCTACCACTAACTTGAGCTCTATGTTAAATTTAAATAATGAACCATTGTTCACACACACAAAAGAACAAACACTGCTTTAATAGCCCTTTGTCTCAATGGGGCTTTTACTCCCATGCATAGCTGAGATATAGAAATATCCCTCCTTCCCCTGAACAGTTATTTACACGGTTGGCAAGATGTCATCTTCAAAGCTGCTAAAAGGGTCTGAAAGAACTAAGCTGAAGAAAGTAAAAATGCAGTATGTAAGGCTGGGAATTATATAAGAATTTTGGTTGACCTCAGAGATAGTGTTTTCAAATCGGTGCTTTTAGTGCTTTTTATTAACCTCACGCTCATTTCTGTTTAGGGACGTTCTGGTTTGGGTTGGTAAAGTCTTACCTGAACATGTCTCCCAAGCCCTTTAGCATTCCCTTCTTGGCTTTCATTTTGTCCTTTTCCTTATCTCTGTCTTTCTTCTTCTCTTTTCCAGTTTTATCTTTTTTCCTGTCAGTCTTGTCACCTTTCTCTTGGTTGCCATTCACTTGTCTCTCCAGGGAGTGCGAAGGCTGATCACTGGCTGTGGATACAGACTCTCTCCCTGATCTTGAACTTTCTTCTGTGTCTTCTTCCACTTGGAAGAAAAGAAAGAAAGAAAGAAAGAAAAAAAAGATAAGGAATACGGTGAACCACAGCAGTGAAAATCAGGAAGCTAAAACACACGTGAGGACTTGCTTTCCTGCATTTTCTACTGCAGGATTGCAATGCTGTTTAACTCAGAGCAGAATTAGAACACAATACGTGACATGGATGGCTCCCCCGGACAGGTGTGTTCCCATGTGAAGTTGGCGTGCCCACAGTAAGACAAAAGCAGCTTCCTGGCTGCATGCTGATGTGCCCACAGTCACACCCTCCATGCTACAGAGCACACATTGAGGGGAGCACTGGCAGGACCTCTTTCCACAGCATAGACCCCTGAGGGTCTTGTGTACTCTATTTGCAAAATGAAAAGCAAGAAAACAAGCAGTCCCTCTTCAAGTGTTTCCTTTTTTCCTGGGTAAGGATCATGTAGATACACTCTGGCCCCTCATTAATTTGCTAAACTACAACCATTCATAATTACATACACCAACGTCAGCACACGGACTTCTTTCCTCAGGTTCCCAAATACGTCTATTTGTGATTTCTGTACACAGAAGAGTGGATTTTTTGGTTTATAGCTACAACAGATCTTCACAGCCTCTGTTAGTGCCAACGTCATAAGTAAATGCTACTATATATTCTAATCCTAAATAATTTTGCATACCCATCTGTACAATGGCAGCTGAACGTGGATGGGGCCATGAAAAGAAGTAAATCGATAGCCTCACTCCTCTGGACTTTGCAGATAAAAGATCTACTTAGAGATAACAATGTTCCATTCTGTTTAGCCGACACTTAGTAAGCTTATGGTCCAAGGGTACTTCAATACCCCAAACTTTTTGCATTTGAATGAATGACAAGTAACTAAAAGAGGCTTCCTCCTACCAAAAGAAATTTAGGAATTTCTCTAAGTCAGAAGCATAGAGGCACATAGTAACAGCCATGCTCAGAAATAATTTCTGAGACTGGTCACCTAAAGTTGTTTTCCAAATACAGTAAGAATTACTGAGGTTTCAGGTTACTCCTTGAATTCTGAGGTCATTTGTTTCTCCTGGCATCAACAAACAAAGCATGGATCAGTGTTTCTGAGCTTCTTGTAACACAGAGCCAGACAGAACAGTTAGCTGGTCATATTTTAATCTTTCACAGATTTGAATTCTGAGGTCATTTGTTTCTCCTGGCATCAACAAACAAAGCATGGATCAGTGTTTCTCAGCTTCTTGTAACACAGAGCCAGACAGAACAGTTAGCTGGTCATATTTTAATCTTTCACAGAAACCGATCTCCAAATCAAGTTCATACATCTTTGGCACTGACTGGTTCCTCAGCTGGTTAGAGCATGGTGTTATAACACCAAGGTCAAGGGTTCAGATTTCTGCACCAGCAAGCTACCAAAAAACTACATATATATACATCTTTAAGTGAAATTCAGTCTTGCCTCTCCGTTAGCAAGGGGCCTTTGAATTAGCAATATGCAATATCCAGGGTATAATAAGACCAGCTAAAACAATCCCAATATTTTAGTTTTCTATTAAACTCTTCACACATGTAAGAAGAGACTATCAAATGATGGAACAGCTATGCCCAAGTAAAACAATACATATATTATTTTAAGCTAGCTATTTATCATAATACAAAAAACGAAGGTTGCAGAATTCTTTTTCTTGACATATTGGTTAAAAACATGAGCCAATACATTTCCCATCCCAGCGGGTCATGCCCTAGGTACAGCCAGAGAGTAAAAATATCACCACATCTAAGTCAGAAAGGTACTTTGGAAAGGTCATGAGCACAACCTCTTCTGTTTCCTGCTGAGGAAACAGAATGGCTCGGGCCAGCACCTTCACAGTCTAGGCTCTTTCTGTCACGGACAGCTGGACTTCAGCAAGGCCTCCATGCAGTTCTTTGATCAACTCTGTTTGTGATTGCCCAATTCCACGCTTCATACAGCATGTATATGGGTAATTTATCATCCAGTCACTACACAATCTGCCCAGAAGATAATTCCAGCAGTCAACACTGCATTTCAGAAACCTACTGTCAATCCTGTTTGGTCATTTAATGCTGTGACTTGAGGCAGATATTGATGAAATCACTCAAGATCAAATGTGTACAGTGGGCTCCAGGACTGGCTGGCAACCACATAGATTACTTTGGGAAGGCTGGCCTCCTTGGTTAATGGACACAAAAGTACAGCTAGATAGGAAAAATAAGTTCTAGTGGTATATAGCCAGGCATCTGTAATTAACCAGAATTTATTATATGTTCTCAAATGGCTAGAAGAGAGGAGCTCAAATGTTCTCATCAGAAAGAAATGATACATTTTTGCAATGATGAATTTGCTAACTACCCTGATTTGATCATTACACATTGTATACATGTATTGAAATATAACTCTGTACCCCATATTGATATACAATCAATATGTTTCAATCAAAAAATAAATTCCTTAGAAATAAAAAAAAGGAAAGGTTGGCCTCCCTCTGTTGTAGAGGTTATCTAACTGTGAGCCGCTTCCTCCTTCAAAGGACATGGTGGCTTTAAGAAAATGTGCTTCTTTTCCTTTCATTTAATATATAAACAGTAATTGTGCAAGTTTGCTAGAAGAAGCCAGTCATATCTTTTCAATGGGCATAGTTAGTGAAAATCTATAGCCTTACAAATAATGCTGCGTTAAGGCTGTAATTTTTTTGGTGGACACAGAACAAGGAAAGAATATTCCTGGCCAACTGGCCCAACGACTTGCTAATTATGTGCATCCTTTTCAAATGAGAGCTCCCCCAAAGAATACAGCTTAAGCAGCATCGCAGCGCCTTGCCTAGTACCACTGAACATGGCTGTTTTCTATCTGCTTGAGAAGCACTGCTTCAACCCTTTGGGAAATCAGTGTGGCCTTGACTTTTTTTTTTTTTTTTAATTTATCAA